TTTTTTTTTTTTTTTTTTTTTTTGAGACAGTAATAGGAGAAAATTGGTTTTGAAACTGAATAAAAGTCCCTTTCAGAGGAAATCATTTCTTTCAGGGTACCTTTGCTGAAAGTAAAATAGAGCATAATGAAAGGTGGTTACGTGATTGTCTTTCATTTACGAAGAGGCCAGGACAGACAGGAGGCTGCCACTGTCTCGGGGAAATACAAGATTGGAATAATTGTGCTGTAACAAGGAGCTTGTTGTGAAATTAGTATCTTAAGAAAGTAGTGAAAAAAAGGCTTTTCCTCATGAATACTTCATTATTAGAAGAAAGCGGCAGAATTTAGGGCTCCAGACACCTGTTTAGTATTAAATAACTTCCTTTTCTTCCGTTTAAACACACACTCCCTGTCCCTTTCCTCTTTTTAAACTGTCACAGGGTGGAGGTGACCCACTGGGACTGGGAGCAGGGTGAGGCGGATGGATGGAGACGGGGTACCAGGTTGGCTCGGGCTCACACCCAGCCCTACCTTCTCCCTAGCAGAGAGGAAAAAAAAGGTGTGGCGGGGAAGCCCCACCCCAGGATAGCCCAGCTCAGCACGGCTACTGCCTCAGCCTCCTGCGGGGTCCTCAGCAGGACAGCGCGCTCTGGGATGTGGCTCTGGGAGCAGGTACAGCATGGAAGCCGCATGTGAGCTGCCACCTGAGGGGACAGAGCTCTGCCCAGTGCGGTGGGGCTGCTGGCGGTCACCCTGCCTTTTCCACTTGGGGTGGAGGCGCTTGGTGTCAGAGATCCAGGTCAGGGCGGCCTTGTGGCCAGTGGAGCCTGGGTTGCAGCACGAGTTGAGGTCGGAACTCCCCGTGATGGGCTGAGTTATCCTCTCACGGGGAGTCACAGAGCTGGGCTCTGCCACCCGCAGCAGGTGCAGCCTGCCTTGGGCCTTGCCTGATTTGGGCTCATCGAGCCAGCCCGCTGCAGTTGTCAGGACCCACACACCGAGCAGGCCAGGGCCTCTCAGGACTCATCTGCCCTGGCCCTGTCAGGGTAGAAATCTACCACTCAAGAAACTTGTGTCCTTTCCCTTCCTGTAATGCCAGGGACGAGCGTCTGGATGTCTCATTGTCCCCATCTCTCCGGTGAGGGAGAAGGGGTGGCCGCTTTGAAAGTCTCCCAGTGTTCGGAGGGGTCCTGGAGAGCGTGGTGGGAGGTGGACACGGAACAACCCTGAGTGACCAGCACCTCCCCTTCTTCCTCACAGGGACCCTGCCGCAGAGCGTGCCCCACAGGGGGGCCCCAGCTCAGCCATGCTGGCCTGTCTGCAGAGGACCCAGAACCCACCGGGCCAGCACCTGGCCTGCCCGAGCAAGAGCCTGGAGCTGCGCAAGTGTGAGTAGGGCCCCTCGCCAACCTCTTTTGCCTGCTCTAGGCCCATAGGGGCTGCTCTCTGTTCCTTGGGCCCCTGGGCAGTGAGGTTCACCCCGTGAGCCCTCCCGCTGTGGCCTGTCCCATGTCTTTGTTAGCACAAGTTTGCAGTACACGGTGGTTCACTCACTGTGGGGAGCTGGCACATGTACACAGCACATTTAACTCCTTTTTTATCCCCTTCCCCTCTCCTCCTTCGCCTCCTTTCATCCCTCGGTCCCTCCCCCGTCCTGTCTTGGAGCCTTGCGTCCCCTCCCACCACTCTGCCCAGGCCCATGCTCTGCTGCCTTCTGCATTCCTGCTGCACCAGGGCACCAGCTCCCGGCACGTCGTTCTTACCTCGGGCCTGACCTCCGTCCCTGCAGCCCTCCCTGTCCCCGGGGCTCCCCCTCTCCTCCCACCCCACTGCAGGATGCGTCTGTCCCACTCACCCTCACCCTCCAGCACTGGCACAAAGTCGGATGGGCAGGAAGCAGATAATAGCCCCGAATGGGGCTCCAGCCCGGGGCCTCTTTCACTGTGTGACCTTGGGCGCGCCCTTGCCCTCTGCCCTCGCTCTTGTGTGTGTCACTTAGGGAGCCCAACTTGGTGAGCTCACAGGGTTAGTCCTCCTTGAGCATGTAGCAGCAGCAGGATCGCAAGCCTTCTGACAGTTTTCAGCCACCAAGATTCCTAAAAAGCTTTGAAGAACCTGATATATTTGCATAAAAACAGGGATTTGCATAAAAACCTGGGTCTCTAGTGTACGGGGCGGCAGGGAATCTGCTATCATCAGTGTATGACGCTGTCCTGCAGCTCGCCCCTGTGAAGGGGACATCCGGCTCCAGCGCACCACGGTCCCCACCACTCCCTACTACTTCTGTCCTGAAACCCAGATCAGTTCTGTTTACCATTATGCTTACGTTGTTGCTCTTTTTCCTCAAATTTTCAATATTCATCTTTAAGCAAGGTGACAGTCTTGCTGTCCGGTACACTAAAGGAAGGGGTATAGAGATAAAAGCCTGCCCCTCCCAGAGGCAGCCGATATTGTCAGCTTCCGGTGTGTTCTCCCAGATGTTTTGGGTACATCCTAAGAAATGTGTATGTTCCTGAACCTCACTTTTTCACTTAACAATATATCCTGATGTCAGCTTCTAAAGAGCTTCCTCTCTCTCTACCCACATAGTTTTCCCTAGCAAGGATGGGGGCCAGTCCTCTCTTTTGACTGTAGCTGGTGCCATCACAAGCAATGCAACAATAAACCCGACATGTGGCACAGCGTGTGAATAAAATGAGAGTAAATTTCTGGACGCGGAAATACTGAGTCAAAGGTCTCTGCGCTTGTAATTTTGATAGTAGTAGTCTGACATCTTTAGATATCATACCTGTGGACATGGTGCAGCACTGTACAAGAGGACCCATCTCCCCATACCCACACCCTCGCCATCAGAGCACCACATTAGACCTGGAGGTTTGGGTCACCTGAGCAGGGAAAGAGGATCACAGTGTAGTTGTGCTTTAAAACCAAGGAGGTTGAGCGTCTTCCCATGTTTGAACTGTTTGTTTTTCCTTTGAAGAATGTACTTATCTTCTTGGTCCATCTTGGGTGGTCATTCTTGTCCTTCCTTATTCATTTGTAGGAATGATTTTTTTTTATCTGACACAGGGTCTCACTCTATAGTTTAGGCTGGTCCTGAACTCACTGTGTAGCCCAAGCTGGCCTTGAACACGTGGTGATGTTCTTAGCAGCCTCCTGAGTGCTGGCATTACAGGCATGCAAAGTAGGAGCTAGTTGCATAGGATAGAATTAGACCTCTGTCTTATGAAGCAGATGTTTTCCCCAACTTGTCCTTCGTCTTTGGTTCTGCCGAGAAGGAGCTTTGTTTGGGAAGTGAGTTGTCAGCATTTACTTCTATGGCATTGGATTTTGCGTCATACTTAGAATGTCCTTCTCAGGCTGAGTTGTTTTTCTGAGACAGGGTCTTGTAAAGTATCAGGTGTAAAGTGTGGTATGGATTCAAGTGTCTTGAAAGGTCAATGCAATGCTGCTTCAACTATTGTAGTTTTATTAATACATGTAAATTTTTAAGTTTTATCGAGATATAATTTATATACTATTTGTCCATTTGAAGTAAACAATTCAGTAGTTTTTAGTGTAGTCACTGAATGACGCACACATCACCATGGTTTTTTATATAATGATACTGGGGATCGAATCCAGGGCCTTCACACTGTAACATCCCCAGTCCTTTTTATTTTTATCTTGAGACAGGGTCTCACTGGGCTTGAATTTATAATCCTCCTGCCTGAGCCTTCCAGAATGCTGAGGTTACAGTCATGCACCACCACGTCCAGTTTACCAGAGTCAGTTTTAGTGCATTTTCCTAACAAGAAGAAACTCCATATCCATCAGCAGCTACTCCCTTGTCTCCCCTCTCACCCACACACACACCCCTTCTCTATATATAGATTACCCACTTCTGGACTCTCCTAAGGGTGGACTCATACTGTGTGTGATCTTTTGTGAATGGCTTCTTTCACTTAATTCCTTCAAGGTTCACCCACATTGTAGCATCTGTATGTTTTAATATTTGATAGTCTTCGTCACTACTTGTTGTTGCCCCACCTCCCACCAAGTTTCCCTGACTGCTGCATGTATTTTACTGTCTGAACTATGGTATCCACTTACCTTCGTAAAAACAAAAACTCCTGTCTGCATTTTTAGCGGGATTGCATTACACTTACAGATGAATCTAGCAAGAAATTTCATCTTGATAATAGATCTTTCCCTCTGAGAACATGATACCCCTGTGTTCAGACTTCTGTGTCCCTCAGGAATTTTTTAATATTTGCTTCATTTAGATTGTGCACATTTTTTTGGCCATGCTTACCTCTGCATAGTTTGGCTTGATTAATCTTTTCTTTCATAAATGGAGGTTGTTTGTATGAAGGCCATTAACTTCTGCCACCTTACTGAATTCTATTGATAATGTTCAGTTTAGTGCCTTGGGTTTTCTAGTTAGCACTACAAATGATAATTTTACCTCCTACTTTTATGCCTTGATGTCTTTGTTTTATTTAATAGAGTTGGCTACTATCCTTGAAACAATGAAAATAATGGTGGTAACAGGCATTCTTCCTTTGTTGCTTCAAGAGTTCCCCATTAAGGAAATGCTGGCTTTGGGACAGGTATTTTATTAGGTTAAGTCAGTCTCCATCTATTCCTGTTTTATTAAGGGGTTGGAAAAATCAAGAATGGACTTTGGAACTTTGCCAAATGACTTCAGTGTTTATGAAGATGAACATATGGCTTCTCTAATCCATTAATATGAATAATGACATTAATAGATTTCTTCATATTGAACCGTCCTTGCATTCTTGGTCGAGCCTCACTTGCTCATGGGAAACATTTCTTTATAACGTACTTGCTGACCTGGCTTTGACTTGGGATTTTTGTCAACTTTACCAGAAAGGCTATTTTTGAGTTTTCTGTTTTTGGAATGATTTTGTGTTGGGTTTCACTATCTAGAGCCTTCTCTTCTTTCCCTGTGCTCTTGAGAAGTTTGACTAGAAATAGATCAGTTCTGTAAAGGCTGGCTGAGTCCCTGTGAAACTGGGCTAGTGTGTTTACTGGAGTGGGCCAGCAGCTCTTTGATATTGTTCTGTATTCCTTCTATAATAATTGGTTTAATTGTCCCACTGCTTCTTGGATGAGTTTAATAAGTTTTCTCAAAAAAACTATCCATTTCATCGAGGTTTTTCAAATTTATTTGCATGAAGTTGAACAAAGTATTTTTTTTTCAATTATTATAAGTGGTTATTTAATGGATTTGGATTTTGTTTGTTTGATACCGGGATGGAATTTGGGTCCTTGCGCTTGTGAGGCAGGAGGTGGCACCACTGAGCTGAATCCCTGGCCTACAAGTGGTTATTTTGAACCTCATTTCTTTTTATTTTGGCAGTGCTGGGGATCAAACCCAGGGTCTTGTGCATGCTAGGCAAGTGCTCTATTACTTTGCTTAGATCCCTATGCCCTACCCTCACGTTTTATACTATGTATTTTGCATTCTTTCCTCATTTTTCTTGATTACATTTATTAGAAAATGGCATCATCTATCTTCTTTTCCCAAAGATCCATCTTGGGTATTGGCGGGGGGTGTACTGAGGATCGAACTCAGGTCCTTGTACTTATGAGGCAGGTGGCCGAACCACTGAGCCAAATCCCTGGCCCATTATCTTGGGTATTTTTTAGTAGTTATCCTTTCCTGGTTTCTAATTCTATTAATTTAATTTATTAAATTTAAATAGTTATTTTAAATTATTTAATTCTATTATTTAATTCTATTTTTATTAAAACTTTTGCTCATTTTTTTTTAATTTCTTGAGTTAGAGACTTAAACCCTTCTATTGAAACACAAAACCAAAAAAGGGGAAAAAAATAAGCTCTGAAGTTTGAGTACTTTTTTTTTTTTAAACAGCAATGGGGATGGAACCCAGGGAACTACATCCCCAATCTTTTTAAATTTTTGAGATAAGGGCAGCTTGGGCAAGTTAGCAAGACCTTAATCCTCCAGCTTCGGCTTCCCAGGTAGCTAGGAGTAGGCACGCTTGCCACCATGCCTGGCTTCTGAGCATTCTTTAGCTGTATTCTGTAGGTTTTAATATGTAGTATTTTTAACTTCATTATTTTCTGCATATTTTACAGTTTGGACTCTTTCATTAACCTAAGACTCATTCTGAGTCTCACTCATCTAGTAGTAGGTGCTTCTTTTTGAGACAAGGTCTCCCTATGTATTCTAGGCTGGCCTCAAACTCCTGGTGATCCTCCTGCCTCAGCCTCCCGCGTGCTGGTAATTACAGGTACACACCACCACACCCGGCTGATGCTTTGTATTTTTTGTGATTTCTAGCATTTCGTTTTGCGTTATGATCTGGGAGTCTTGTCTACTCTTTTGCAATTTATTGAAGTTCTTTTGTGACATAAT